GCGGATTTAGGATGATGTTGTTTATGCTTAGTAAGTGTTGTTCTTGTTTTCCTTTGGAGTTGCTCGAGATCTGTGTGAGTCCAATGTATAACTCCAAAAGAGTATGTGAGTACTGGGATGACATATGTGTTTATTGCTTTAACTTTATTATTATTATTATTATTGTATTATTTTTTTGTTTACCACGATTAATTTCTTAATGTTTTATTTATAATTTTTTACGTTTTTTAACGTTTTATTTACGTTTTACGTAATTAATTTTAATTTTTAAACTGTTGTATTGCTCGCGTTCTATTTTACGTTCATTTTCGTTTTAAAGAGGCTTAACTGAAGAAGACTATTAAATATAGTCGAAAATGTTTTTATTTTATTAAATACTTCATTGCTGGAATTACTAAGGTGTTTTGATTATTTAAATTTGATGATTGAATGAATTTAATTTGATATCACCTTTGATCAGTTTGCTGTGATATTGCCTAGTTTGTGTCTGGCTTTAAGAATAAACTAATTTGTAATTATACAGTATATTTATATGGATTTGTAGTATAACATGATTGAATGTGTGTGAAATGGCCCTGGTAGTGAGTTTCTTGTTCAGTGAAGAACAAATTTGTACAGACTAATATATAATAATGTTGCCAGATGTTCATATTATCCAAATTCAATTGAAAGGAGTTTTGATGATGATAAATAAAATAGGAATTCCTGGTATATTTTGCACCAATTTATAAGGGCTGGAAAAAATAGGATTTTCCTACAGGTATGAGATACCACGTTGCTAAACAGTGCAATTTCATATCAGGTCATTTTATCATACATGATGGGATAGCCAACTGAACAGGACTGTTTTCTGAGTGGGAGATGATACTGCACTCTTTAACAATGCTGTTGAGGAGACATTCAACTACCCTAATAGAATAATTTATATTTTGTATGCTGTTTTCATCAGCACTGGTTTTGATTATAAAAATTTCATTTTAATCATGAATAATATTTTATATAATTACTATGTGATAAAAATTGAGACATTATTTTATGATTTTATTTTTTTAGAGGTGCTGCAATTTTAGTGCTTATCACAAGCTACTGTTGATTGTTTTTAAAATAATATGTTATTAACGTATTTAAAATTGCCTATACAGTAGAGCCTTGATTATCCGACTCAATTGGGGACTGGAGTTGGTCGGATAATTGAAAAGTCAGATAACCGAAAAGTATGAAAAAATCCATTATTAGTGTAGTATATTATTATATCCCATGTAATTAGTATATCGCTATTAACCTACTTTGTGTTGAATTTTCATCAACGTTAAGCCTAACAAAAATTTTTAAAAATAATAATCGTTGCTATTGTATCGTTAAAAATTAGAAAATTAAGCCTCGTTTAAATACTGGCTCCCTTTCATGGTCGAATGAGTGTTGCCAGCTAAAACATGTAAAAATAATATTAAAGTATCCAAGACATAACCAAATATTGTAGCGCCACATCACTAGCGGACATTTGAAATTTGCTGACTAGGACGGTCGGTTAACCGAGGTGTCGGTTAATCAGGGGTCGGATAATCGAGGCTCTACTGTATATTGTTTTTTAATGAAAATTATTCAGAATAGTGATAAAATATTTTATTTTAAATCAATTATTTCACTTTTTATGATAAATTTATTTTTGCATAGAAAGTTTGAAACTTCAAAGGAACCTTGACAATTATTATTTTTTACGACAAAGTCGTTGTTCACATGCAAATAATATAGATGACAAAGCCAGCTTTTTAGCCACCAGGGTAAGATCTTTGATTTACTATATTATTATTTTGTATATTGATGATTTTTATGTCTACATCTGAGAAAGGAATAATTTTCAATATTCTTATTAGACATTCTTAAAAATAAATTACAATGAAACTATAAAATAGACATACAGGTATCCCTTGTATTACATAGTAGTTATGTTTCAAAAAAGTGCTGTGTTATGCAAATCCATGCTATATGAAACAAGTGACTTGTTAGAACCTCTATTAGACCTGAGTCTAAGGGTTTGGACCAAAAAAATGACAAGTCGGCTTATAACCAAACAAACTCTTTAATGATGGCGTATAATTAACAAGCAGGGGACACATAGAATGCTAACCCTCGCATTACATGACTCTCACATACAAAGAATTTACCTTCACCCTTTTTCCACCAAAAAAAAAAAAAAAAAACACTTTAGTTCTTACGAAATCCGTGGGATCCCCTTTTTCGATCATGCATAACAAGGCAAGACTACAAAATTAACAAAGAGGGATCAACAGGAACCCATGTTACTCATAGCACCTTCTCTTAACTGGAACAAAAATATTGATCCGATAATCATCACACATGAAGAATAATTTATCTGGATGATCCTTCTGTTGATTCTTCTACTTTTTATTGTAGTCCTTTCTGAAAATTAAGAGTTCATCACCTTGATGGAAACGGATTGTGTTCTCTTCATAGAATGGTCTCGTTAACCTCGTCCTTACTCTCTATCCTGGATGATCTCTTTTCCCACTTGTTAACACATGTCCTCCTAAGGTTTTACAGGTGATGCAAACAAACAAACAAAAAGTGCTCTTTCACACACAGTTCTGCTATTTATATCTCCCGGGTCTGGACATCTGTCATCTACATGTGATTTACCATCCAGCCAATCCCATGGCTTCTCTCACTAACCCAAGGGGAAGGTGATAGGGAACATAGAGGGAGGGCCGCATATCACAAAAAAAAAGAAATAAACGTACATACATGAATAATCAGAACAAATATATACAGTTAAGTAGTGGAGCACTGCAGACTAATGCAAAGCATAGGGTTATGTTAGCAACAAAAAAGAATTATATACTTTTGCTAAGAAAAATGTTTATTAAAGCAATCGATACTTTATTTCCAGTCAATAATTAATTAACAATCACAATTTAAAGTACTGTATTATACATTAATATTAATTTTAGTTAAACCAGGGCATTTTTTTTTTACAAAGTATCATTGTCATCTTAGCTTTCTTGTTGATTTTGATCAGAAATATCAGCAAACTTTTCATATTTTTTATTTTTATCATACAAATTTTTATGGATGACAAAATAAAAATATGTTATTAATCAAAAATTTGTTCTAGTGGGTCACATTTGTTCAGCTGAGTACTGAGTGATTTTTTCCAGAATTTGTGTTCAAGTACTGAGATACTGCTATATTTTGTTCAATTTCAAATTTTCGCCATTCTATATCACTGGTAGATATTGTGTTTGGCATTCAAATAGCTTGACACATGTACTAAACCATTGAACTATTATAACCTTAAAACAGTTGCAGTGTTGAAACCAAGTGTGGAGTATAACTGAAGAGCTGTGATTATCGAAAGTGTTTATGCTGGGCGCTTGGCAACAGAAATCATTCAGTTCTTCAGGTACCCGAGATCAACTGTGTATGATGTCATTGCAAAGTACAATGAGTTGGAGAAGTCAAACGAAGGTTTTACAACACCGTTGAGGAAAACTCACTTGAAGGAGTGCATTGTCAGGACACCCAAAATCATTCAATGGGCTCAGGAGCTGATTTTTGAGGATTCAGGTCAGTCAATTTGAAAGTTGTCGTTGGTTGTTGGTGTGAGTGAGAAAACTATGTGTAGAATCATTGAAGAGGACCTCCACTACAAGTCTTACACAATTAAAGTGAGACAGATGCTTTCTGAAGCTGCCAGGACAAAGCGAGTTGAACGCTGTAACCTGCTTTTGCATTCCTTAAGAAACAATACTTCCAAATGACTCAGATTTTTTTCTGAAGAGAGAATTTTTACTGTCAATGCGAAAATCAATTGAAGGAATGACCATGGCTCGCCCAAAATTCTGAAGATGTCCCCATTATTTCAAGAATGAAATTTCCAGTGAATGTTCATGTGCTAGGTGTTGTGTCCAGTGAGGTTGATGTCATGCCACTGTATTTCTTTAACAAAGGGAAAAATGTCACAAAAGAAGTTTATTTGTGTGTTGTGATAAATGTAGTGAAGCCGTGGATGGAAACTGTGTCATCTGGAAAGCTGTATGTTTTCCAGCAGGATGGTGCGCTCACCCACACAAGTTATTTGGTGCAAAATTGGTTGTCAGACAATGTTGACATGTTTTGGTTGAAAGAACTCTGGCCTCCCAACAGCCCAGATTTGAATCCTTTGGACTTCTATTTATGATGCGTAGTTGAAATGGTCATGAACAAGTCCAGACATCCAAATGCTGCATCATTTAGAGCAGCTATTGAAGTGGCATTTGTCAATATGGACACATTAAAGTGCACCTGTGCATGCTTCAGACAAAGGATAGAGGCAGTCATTCAAGCAGGAGGAGGATATATTGATTAAATGTATTCTTTATGGTCTTACAAACAATGTGGTTAAAAAAATTTGTAAACTTTTTTGTTTTTGCAATAAAAAATGTGTTTGGAAGAAATGTGTAATTTGTCCAGATTTTGGCACCACACCCTGTATATTTATGTAAAGTACTTTTGTGGCCTGCTGAATATACCTAAATTTCTAATTTGGCCCATTAGGAAAAAAAGGTTGGATAACCGTGGTCTAGGGTCTGTTCACATGTGAGTTGTGTTGCTGGAGGCAGAGATGACATGTGTCCTCACAAAAACCATTTATTATAGTAGATAATTGGTATAATGTATGTTGATGGGAAGTTTGTCATTATGAGGTCGCTCATCGAAGTCCATAGTTGATAGGGAGTCTGATCCTTTTAGAAAAGTTGGAGCTAGACAATACATTGATAAAGTCTTATACTAATGTTTTGTTGATTGCCCTGGGCATAGATGATAATAGTGAAGTGATTGGTCAAATTGAGTGCTCGTCGGAAGTCAGGAAGGGATAATCCTAATGGAAGCAAAACAGATTAGTCATGTGAGACTGGCATAAAACTGCATTTTGACCTTGAAATTCAATTTTTATAGTTTTTCTCCTTCAAATCTCACCTTTTGATTGGTCCAACTTCCCTTGTCTCACTTTTTGATTGGTCTTATTCTTGTCTCCAAGTGAAAACTGAGATTGGTTCAGATTGCAAGAAAGATCTGTTTCGGAGACTCTATCTGATACTGTCCCTTGACTCTGACCAAGATATGTTGATGGAACTTAGAAATCTATGCTCATAATTTAGCCTATTATTTCCTTTCTTATGACATTTTAGAATTTGAAAGATCTGGCGTAATATCTCTTTGACTGTCAAACCTTCCTCTTTTCATGATTTCCTAACTTACATCAATTTTATACAAGCATTTGTGTTAGTGTTCTATCTCTTGGTTTGACATTGACAGATTGTTTAACATGTGTTAGAGTCACCTTGGGACTTGTTGTTTATCTTTGTGTTGGATTGTTTCGATAACTGAATTTTTTCTCCTCTCTCTTATGTAACCTTTTGTTATATTTTAAACATTGAAAATTTCACAATTAACATGATTTTGGACCTTATCTGGAACCTCACATAAATACAAAGATTAATTTATAAAAAGAAAATAGAGTGACAGTCTTAACAGCTAAAGTCTGAAAGCAATGTTGATGACACCAACACCTGGTTGGTAGGAAAGTTAGTGCAATTTTTTTCTTACTTGTTTTATGAGTTTCCATTAAAATAAACCTGATGAAAAGCACAAAATAATTTGAAGAGTTCAATATTCTAAAATCATGGGTAAATTTGACACAACATGCATGCTTACTTGAATAAAAAAAATATAGATTGGCAAAGTTTACCCTTAAAAATTGTGAAATTTTGTTAGGAGGATTTTCAAAACTGTGTTAGAGCAAAACCGGAAGTTTTGTTGTATGGGGGATAGCTCCAATTTTTAAACCATGTTAGAACAAAACCATGTTATAGAAGTACTGTGTCAGGGGATACCTGTACTTCTATAAATATGTATATAATTTGAAATATAATTATAATTGAAATATATATATTTCAAATTAGCTGTTGTTTAAAATTATTAATAACTTGGATAATTAAGAATTTATGAATAGAGTAAGAGAGACTTTTTATTTAGAAAGCCATGGAGCTAATAGGTTTTATTCAAGAAGAGATCACTGCTGTTTTACAAGTAGTTGCATGTGTACTTAAACTAGGAAATATTCAGTTTCAACCTCAGGCAAATATTGATGGAACAGTAGGATGTTCTTTAATGAATGAATATGGTAAGTTTATTATTAAATTATAAAATTTATGTATGTTTAAAAAAAGATTTTTTTAAAATGTTTAAATTGTTGTTGATGATATTTTCATTTAAGTACAGTATCAATAAATTCTCTAAAAATTAAAGAAAAAGTTACTATTATTTAATGTGGATAATCTGCAGCATCAGATACACTACAAAAAATTACTAGAATGGAAATAAAATCCTCACACAACTTACACCACTGTATACCTTGTGCCTCAAATGGCCATTGAAAGCATCACTTAACCAGTATGCAGTTTAGAAAGTACCATCTCAAACATTAAAACATTGTTTTTTATGTTTTATTTCTGTTGACAGTTCATTACAGACATAATTATAAAAATAAATGAAAAGGAAGACTCCTAAACTTCATGTGTTAAAATACAAATGGCCATTAAAGAAAAAATTTGGGAACATTCGCAAACCATGTAGCCCAATATTTTGCAAATTTTTACTCCCTCCCTGCCCTGATAACAGTGGCTGGACAAGTAATGCCTATTTCTAAAACCACATTGCCTAAAAACATCAGATTTCCAATTGCACAGTCTGTAAGTTTTGAGACTAATTTCTTTTTTACAGCTATACTTTTTTTAAAACTCTTTCTGCCTTGTAGACACTAAGAGGGTCTTTTTTTAGCAAGCCCATTATGGATTTGACCAGTCCTACAGCGGTGAGAAATGGGGCCAACGTATCTGGTTGCACCACCCCTGAAAAATTCCTGGGGATTTTTTTTGATTTATCCGGATTCGATTCTGGGTCCCCTAGAGCAGGGCTGCCACCTTGACTGCTCGGCCATCTGGCCTTTAATTTACAGCTATACTAGTGGGGCTGTTTAGTGCTTAAAAAACAGGAGAATTAAAGCAAGAATTCCTGAGATAATGAATATTAAATTTTATTATATAAGAAATATAATCTTTATAAAAAATATTATAAATCAGTTTTTTATTATTTTTATTATTATTTACTATTTTTCAGAAATTTATGATGTTTGTGAATTACTTCAAGGAGATTGTTCAATATTTCAATCAGCATTAACTCAACGAACAGTAGAATCAAGGCATGATGTTATAATCACAGAATTATCAGCAATGGAAGTAAGTGAACATGGAAATAATGAGTGAATAATAAAAATATATGAGATAAAATAATAGTTTCTATTGCTATTTTCTAATGGAAAGAAAATGAATTTATCAAAATTTAATTGATGTAATCAACCTGTGTTATTTAGGTCAAATGTAATTTATCAGTTTCCATATTTAAAAAAATATACAGTACTAATATAACAAAATATAGAAACTGAAGGGAATGTCAGAAAATAAATTTTTATTTTAGAAATCAACTCCAGAAAAAGTTTAATGAAACAGAAATGTTTTCACTCTAATTTGATAAGTTTTCATCAGTTGAACATTCTGAAATATAACATACAAATAATATGTATTTAAATTTTATATTTTCTATTCTACTGATATTTATTGAATGTTCTGTTAATTCAAATATGTTCTATTTTAAAATGTTTAACTGATGAAAACCTGTCAAATTAGGTTGAAAACAGTTTTATTTCATTAAAGTTTTTGCTGGAAGCGATTTCTAAGGTTTGAATTTATTTTCTGATATACATTACTATTTATGAAAGTTGCAATACCATGAAGGAATTATCTGATTAGAATGAAGTTTATACCATACATTACTGATATGACTGTATATAAATGATTAAATTTTCAGAACAATACAACAATTATTACTTGATAAAATCAGTACCTTGGAAAGCCTTTGCAAGCTGCAATAACAGCTGCTATGTTATGGAAATAAATAGAAAAATCCAGCATTGATTTTGTATCTTTCCTGGTTATGAGATTTTATTAAAATATAATTTTTATAAATTAAATATCAAACTCAGCTTCTTTTAAAACAGTAAAACATTCAACATCTTATAACGCTGAGAAATATTTATTAACCCACAAACGTTTTCAGCCTAATGAAATAGGCCATCATCAGGTGATAAGTTATCGAACAACTTTGAAAATTGCGTTAAAACGGAACTTTCGAACATTATCAATTCAAAATTAAAACGTAAAATAAATTAACCAATCACTATACAAAATAACTATAATAAATAGATTGAAGCCATATTAATATAAATAATAAAATAAGGCAATATAAAACTAAAAACAAAAATAAACCTAAAAGATTAAATGCACAAAAATGATTAAATTCATAAAAATATATATCAAAAAGCATCACATTATAAAGGCAGATATGAACTAAGACTTTGTGTGTTTTAACTTTTCTTTTTCAAAGCCAACAATGGGGACCGCAATGTCTTGAGAATAGACGCTTCATTCCATTTAACTACTGAAGCCTCCACTTGTGCCATACTTGACAAAACTGTGGTACAATGCCCTTTACTAATGTCAATATGACAAAACCGTGGTACAGTGCCCTTTACTAATGTCAATATGACATTAGTAAAGGGCATTGTACCATGGTTTTGTCAAGTATGGCACAAGCGGAGGCTTCAGTAGTTAAATGGAATGAAGCATCTATTCTCAAGACATTGCGATCCCCATTGTTGGCTTTGCAACATGAAAAAATTGAAAATTATAAGAGTAAATTAAGGGACGATTGTATCAATGCAAGGGATGCTGATGGTTTAGCTTCGGCATGGAAGTTCTTTATAAAAGAAAAGTTAAAACACAAAAAGTCTTAGTTCATATCTGCCTTTATAATGTGATGCTTTTTGATATATATTTTTATGAATTTAATCATTTTTGTGCATTTAATCTTTTAGGTTTATTTTTGTTTTTAGTTTTACATCGCCTTATTTTATTATTTATTATTTTATTATTTATATTAATATGGCTTCAATCTATTTATTATAGTTATTTTGTATAGTGATTGGTTAATTTATTTTACGTTTTAATTTTGAATTGATAATGTTCGAAAGTTCCGTTTTAATGCAATTTTCAAAGTTGTTCGATAACTTATCACCTGATGATGGCCTATTTCATTAGGCTGAAAACGTTTGTGGGTTAATAAATATTTCTCAGCGTTATAAGATGTTGAATGTTTTATTATAATTTTTATATTATTAATTATTATGAAATGGCAAAAAGCTTAGTTTTGAGAGTAGGGATGAGTTTTATAAAAACTTGTATATATTAATAATAATAAAAATCTTCATTAAGTCTGACCCCTCTTGAGATATAATATGACCCACCTCTATCTCTCACCTCTTTGACCTTTAACTACCAAAATTTAGCAACATCAATGTCCCTTACATACAAATTTACCCTGTAAGATTCATTTCTTAATCTTTATCCCATCCTGGGATATTAAATAAAATCAACAAACAAACAAACACATACACACAGAGTATTAGTTTTTTGGGTTCAGAGGTGTCAAAACATCATGATTTCTAAAATATGAAGGTCAAATATGACTCTATTACAATATTATATTATAACAGTCTGGTATGTAATCCATATTACATTAAAACAGCCAGGAAAGTAACATGAAAATAAAAATTTGAGATTATTATAATACTTTCCCATGTTGTTTTAACAGCTGGAAAAGCAGTAGACTTTTGATGGTATCCTGAGGAATTTTTGTTGGGTGGCTTGTATGCATTTCCATAGTTCATTGGTTTTGACTGCTGGAGGACAGATGTGTTTAATAGATGACACGTTTGATGAATAGGCAGACTAAGGAAGAAGTGGTATCTTTTGTACCTCAAAGAGGTTTTGAACGTTCCTGGCAACATGTCGAATATTGTCGTACTGGAATATAATGTTAGAAGTGCTCTGAAGGAAGGGTATGATTTCTCCTCTACAACTTTCCTGATGTAATAGTCACTGTTGAGATTACCCTCAGGTCATAGTAGATGAAATTATGAATGGTATCCAATTGTGCCCCTCACCATTTCATATGACTTTCAGCCAGTAGGATGCTCTAAAATGCATGCCAGAAGATGGCATTCACCATGATATCTTCTAATGAGTATGTGACCATCATTGTTATTAAAGTTAAATTGAGATGTGTCTAACTTGTCAAATATGACTTGTTGCCAATTAGCACACAATTGTCTGTATTCATGGCGCCATTGTAACTGGAGATATTGATGGTTTAGGGTCAAGGAAATCTGTCACTAAGAGATGTATGCAACCAGACCCTTTTAAATAGATGACATTGAACTATTCTGGCAGACAATGGCAACTTGTTGCAGTGCTTCACTGCTGTGCTAACACTTACAGTGACACAGAATGGTCTGTCACTGGATGTGGAAGAGATGCCTGTAATCCTGTAGTGTTGTCACATTTTTTTGTTTACCACTGAATTTTCAATGTACTTGGTTCTCTTTGGTCCACTGCCTCCAAACCATGCATCACTGTCATGGTGTTTTCTCCTATATAAACAGCAATGTCATGGTATAAAAATCCTCCTCCATTCAGGCCAATCATGTACCCATATTCAAACTCTTGTTTGTTGGTATATTGCACTCTTTGTTGTGAAGCATAATGTGTAACAGTCACTGCCATGTGTTATATGTACTGTACATATATTTATATCTAGAAAAATCCACTTATAATAACTGCAACTTTTTTTGTCTTTCTCTTTTGTTTCTGGTTGCTGTTTATTTTATTACCTATAGGGACAATAAATGCAGTGGGAGTGGAGAGGGAAGTGTATATAATGAATGGACAGAAGAAAACAGTCGCATTTTTGCTTGTGTAGAAGGATAATTGAGGAAGCTATCTTTCAATGAGTGAAAGGGATAGGAAGATTGCCAGGTCCTAACAATCCAAAGATTATATGAGGCTTCACTGATAAAGGGAAGGATCTCTGACATTGTACCATTCTTGCTTTTCAATACCAAAAGAACACATTATCATCACAATTCATTATTTTGGGCTCTGAGGTACCTCTCTCACATAATCCTTGCAGCTGACAGTCACTAGGAAAAGTCAGTCAGCAAATGAAAAAAGATGCAGAAGAGTTTAAAAAGAAGCTGGAGAACGTGATGAAGGAAGAGGAACTAACATCTGTTGCAGTGTACAATGCTGATGAGACTGGTCTGTTTTTCAAAATGCTCCTTTCAAAAGCCCTTGTTGCCAAGAATGAAAAGGAAGCTCATGGGTATAAACAACAGAAATAACATGTCACACTGATGGCATGTTGTAACAATGATGAGAATCATAAACTTTTCCTTCTGGTGATTAGAAAAGCCCAACAGCCATGATGTTTTCAGCACAGCAAGATGAGTACACTATCAGTAGATTATTGAGCTCAAATGAAAGCATGGTTGGACTCAAAAATTCTCCTTGTGGTTCCAGGTGTGAAGGAAGAACTGAAGAAAAAAATTCCATAAAAACTATACTCCTAATTGATAATGCTCCCAGATATCTCTCCACCTTCTCTCTGAAATCAGGTGATATACAAGCTATCTTTCTCTCACTTAATCCAACTTATAGGTTGGATTAAGTAAGTTGGATCAGGGAGTTATGGAATCAGTTAAGCATAGCTGTTGATATGCAATTATTACCTCCCTATTGGACAATTCTACTGAAGCTATGCTGAAGATGTGAAAAGCAATCAACATGCGTTATTGCAAACAGCAGAAGCATGGAAAATTGTGGAGAGTAGAAGAATAGTGAAGAATTGGAAAAAAGTATGGCCTTTGATTGACACTGAGTTGGAATTCACATTGAGTGATAGTGAGCAGTCAATTCAGAATCATTTCCGGATGCTGTGTTCATTGATATGTTCCACAAGCTTCCAGGAGAAGAAGTTGATAAAAAAGACATTACTAATTGGTTGAATGAGGAATATTGTGCAGTAGGTCAGGCTTTAATAGACAAAGAAATCATCAAAAGTAATGAGGAAGAGGACACCACAGAGGCAGAGAGAATGAAGATTTCTCACACTGCTGGTGTCGAAGCTGCCAATATTTTCCTGCAGTACATAATGCAACAACCAGACACATGCAGTACTGTTGTAATGTTCATAAAGAGATTGTGGGACAAAGTGTGTCATCAACAAGTATCATTATTAAAACATATAAAAGTCTGTGACATTTTTTAATTGACTACACTGAGTAGAAGATGCAACATTTCAAATGTACTGTATTACATTTTAAACTTCTTTTACTGTATACAAATACTTGTCTCTTATTTGTTTTTTAGATATATGTGCATGTAACATTAAATGACATTAAGCATGTAACATTAAATTAAATAAAGAATTAAACTGATTTCTTTTATCTCTCAGTAATCAGGCACTCTTGCTAATTTGACATTCCTCTGTGCAAGGAATGGCCAAATTTGCAAGAGTCTACTGTATTAGCAAATCACAGATTTATCTATTATTACCAAAAGTGGCAATAAAAATACTGGTAGAATTTTTTTTCATCCAGACAGTCTCTATTAGGTGATATAACTCTAAAAATTATCTCTATTCAGTACGGTAAGTGAAGAGTATATATGATCTGTAGTTTGTTATATATCTTAAATTTTCAAACATGAAATAGTATATATAAAATATCTGAGTAACAGTTCTAGTAATCATTATTAATTTTATTATTTTAAATTTTAATAGGCTAATTATGCAAGAGATGCCTTATGCAAATCACTGTATAGCAGGTTATTTACTTGGTTGGTTAATAAAATAAATGAAAATATTCGGGTAAGTTGAATTACATTACAATTTAATATAGCCTAATAAAATACTTTATGTATTTGAATGTATATATTTAATGGTTTATTTATTTGTATCGCAGGCAAAAAGAATGGGAAAAAGAAAATGCTTAGGAATTTTAGATATCTACGGATTTGAAGTATTTGAGGTAATATTTTTTATAGTTTTGATGTAAAATGTTTAATTAATAATTTGTTGAATAACAGATATTACAAAATGAGAATAAAATTATTTGATTATCTTCATTAGCTTATTCTCATTTGTTTTTTTCAATTTGGATTGACAGTAACAAACAAATCTTTTAAATTTCAGCAACTTAAATTTATTTGGAACAAACATGTTAAGAACAACCTGAAGAAGTCCTTTAAACTTAGGCTTTTGTCCATGTTTCAAAGCTTTCCTCAGCTTGTATAACAGCAAGAAATAAAATCTTTCAATTATGGAATATTGGTAGAATTTAAATCCGCTGCAACATACAATCAGGAATAAAGAACAAAAATTTTATTCCTTTTGTTCTTGTACAAAGAACCTGAAGAAGGTCTTTAAACAGTAGAAAACATTTATTGCAAATAAATTTGAGTTTCTGGAATTTAAAACATGTATTTGTTACTGTTATTACTTGTGCTAGCCAGTTGATTTCCTACATTTCAGCTAGGATATATTTTCTAAGTTTTTGAATTTGAAAATCGGAATATTATACAAATTGAGATTGTGAATTAGAAAAGTAGCCCAAGAAATTCTAGAATTTTAGCTTTTTCTACATTAAAAACAAAAAGGCATGCTAATGTTACTCACTGAATTATCAATACATTAAACTATTCTTATTCCTTGAGAATATTTTGAATAAAAAATAATTTTTGCTTTTGTGGCACAATATTTGAGCTTTGGCAATTTGGCAGCCTTATTCAGGAACTCAGTTTCTAAGTTTTCATCTATTACCCATATTATGAAATATATTACTGCTTTATTTTCTTATATATTAAAATTACCTCAATGTATAATTGGCAATATTATATTAAGAACTCCAAATGAAGAGAATGCAAGATATAAACAGTATATCTTTAAATTGCTTTGCAAAGTCTGGTTCACAAGTGGGCTAATTTGGCATTTACAAAAAGATGCTCATAAAATAAATTGAATCAGTAATGATCAATTGAATCTGTAAGTACAAAACAGTTGAAGATAGTGAAGAAAACATATCTGTGTATGTGAACAAACACATTATTAACTTATTTTGTTAAAAAGGAAAAAGACATCCTACAAAACACTATAACTTCATTAATGGTAAAGAAAAAAAAATTAAAAATTTGTAGCTACTTTTGGCTTGCCTATTATAATTTATTGTACTTTCTAGCTTTTTTCTTCTTTATAGATTCAGATTAGGAAATCTGAACCTATAAATATGACATTATTAAGAATTTTTAATGAAGACAAATCATAGTTTGACTCTTCACATTTGGAAGAAGAAAAAAGCTAGGAAAACAAAGCAATACTCTGCATCATTCAACATTTTCAGATTATGTTTAAACAAGCAGTTGGAAACAAGAACTGCAGTTACATGAAACAAAAGAGAACAAAACATCAAACATTGAGAATTTAATCAACCAACAATCAGCCAAATTATTAAACAAATATTAATTAGAAATAATGTTATTAGAACATTATCTTTGAGATTATTCTAAAAATTAAAATTACAGCTACTATTTTTATTAAGAGATGGTGCCTAACACCTATCTTTAGTTGTTCTAATCATGTAATTTCTAATTAATATTTGTAGTATAATTTCTGTCCAATTAGTTTGGCTGATGGTTGGTTGATTATTAATACATCAGGTTCATGGGAAGTCTATATATTGAAAATTTACTTCATGAATTGAAAACCATTCCACTAATCTCTATTGAATCATTAGAAGATCATTTTTTAGCAGATTATTTTTTCATCAAATTGAGAACTCTGCTTAGTATCAATTGTTTGTTTTTGAGAAGCTATTTTAAAAGTATTGATTGATCATCAGAATATTTTATTGTAAATAAATGATGTTATTTCTAATGGAGTTTATTTTATTTTTTACAAAAAGCTAAGTCACACAACTATCCATTGGCATTACAGAAAAATATTTACTTTGCAAGTACTTTTGACAGTATAATGTTTTCTTCAGGCTAGGGATTGTATACCGGTTTACCGATTTACCAGTTAACCGATAAATTGACAAAAAAGCATTTGGTAAACTTACCGGTAAATTTTTAAAATTTACCGGTAATTCGGTAAATGAAAAATCCACACTAGAAATTTTTATGTAGAAAATATTGTGTTTATAGATATTGAAAAGGGCAAAAGAGACATTGAAAATAAAAAAAAAGCAGGTAAGTGTAAGCAACAATATACCTAATTATTAATTTTAAGTGAGATATTTTTTGTTTAATTTTAATTTAAATTTTCTTGGGTTTGAGAGGCGCTGCAAATCGTACAGAAAAGTGCTAGTTAGCATATGTGATTTGTGCTCTATTCTATTCTATTCTTCTCCCCCTTTTTTCATATGGAGATAACACATTTGTGCTCTGCAGTTTTTTGAGAGTTTTAAAGGTTTAAAATCTTTATAATCAACGTTTTTTTTAAAGAGTAAGTAAATATCTCCTTTTTTAATATTTAAAATAATAATACGTAAATATTTCACGTATTTTTTAAATTAATAGCAGTTTTGAATACACCACATTATGATAGGACATTAATGCAATATTATTGTAAAATAACATTAAAATTTGAACCTTAAATAATTTTTTTTACTTTTAACAACTGTTTAAAATAATTAAATACAAATATTTATTACAAGATTCTAATATTATGCCTTAAGATTGTGCAAAATATGTATTATTCTAACCCTATTTTCTTGGGGAATCCCCATTGCTCTCACGCATGAAAATGAAAATAATCAGTGACAATCAAAATTTTGCGTTAGTTAAATTTAATACTTTAATAGAAGTATATAATGTGAAATTCGAAGTTCATATAATTTTATAAAAGAAATTAATCTTTTAAATTTAAAATAAAAATTCCTTTAACCAAAGGAACTTGACCCTACAGAAACGAAATATAAAGTACATGAGAAAATTATAACTCTTTCTATTTAACTATAAACATTCTCACGATCAAACCGTGTGTAGTTTACAAGTATCGGCGAAATTCGTCATATTGTTGTCATTTTAACACCAACTTTAACCCCAACCTGCTAAAACAATTGGTCACTTGACGAATTTTCCCACCACAAAATGTATAAAAGCCATAATTTTTCCCCTCTCGGGGAAGTCGCTGATCAGGGAGTCGCCCATCGAACAACCAAGACGGACATTCGCTTCCCTCTGACCTACCGTACAACATTAATCAGAAGACCTTGTATCCCAACTCGCACCACCTTTCAGAAATTAAAGCCATCCGATATCATCGAAAGAGGTATGAACGCTTTATTGTAAACTCTCTCTCTCATACGTGAATTAGACGTACAGTGTTAGACACCTTTGTTTTATATTTTGACTTTAATAAACTGTTAGTTTAGAAAAAAATAGTGTCTTTACTCGACCCCTCCGATTCTCCGCCACTCGCGTAACGCGTAACGGTACGCAAACGGCATCCTTGACAAGAAAGTAGGTCACTGACCTGTGGCCGGCAAGGAGAGGAACTTCTTCCCTCCCCGGCAGCTCACAAATTGATGTAGCAGGAGCGGGGTTTCAAACTAAAAACCCCTGCAAAATCCTCACATATAATATCATGATTGATTGTCCATCAAAATCTTTATTATTACATTATAATAACCCATTACGTCAAGACACAGTGTTTCTCAAACCTCAAATAGATTTACATAGGCCTATATGAGTTCGAATCTTCGAATACTATTTTTTTTTGTTTTATTATTTTTTGCTGGTTTAAAATCTACATAATGTATTACTTTTTTTGTAGAAACCATGGATAAAAATTCAGTTTGGTTCTACTTTAATCGTACAGAAACGAGAGATGTAGCTGTATGTAAACAGTGCAACAAAAAAATAAAAGCAGCAGGTGGAAGTACTAGTGGTTTACATAGCCATCTAAAAAGTCAACATAAAATTAATCTATTAAAAAGAAACAATGAAGAATGCTCAAAAGAACCAGCGATTGATACAAGATCAAAAATTACCTCTTATTTCAAGAAAAATGACGAATCTCTTGAAGCTGTACTCTCAAGAATGATAGCAAAAGATGGAATTCCTTTTAGCAAGTTTTGTACATCTGCAGATTTACGAATGCTATTAAAAGCAAGAGGCTACCAAAATATACCAAAATCCCCAAAAACTATTCAAAAAGTAGTTATGCAATATGCAGATAAAATTAAGGAAGAGGTATCGAAGGAAATTTTACAGCATACGAACAATAACAAAATGTTTAGCCTTACCACAGATGAGTGGACATCAAATAAAAACCGCCGATATATAAATGTGAATATTCATGGAAGTGATGGTAAATTTTGGAATCTTGGATTTAGTCGAATTTATGGACCTGCGCCTGCTGAGGTATGCGCAGAATTAATAGAAAATAAATTAAAAGAATTTCAAATTTCTTTGAAAAATATTGTCTGCATAACATCGGACGGAGCTGCCGTCATGAAGAAAACGACGAAATTACTCAATAAAAACTACCAGCTATGTCTTGCACATGGATTGCAAATTGCAATCATAAAAGTTCTTTACAATATAAGCACATCAGATATACAGGATGATGATGAATATAATGCTAATTTACTACTTTCTACAGATTCTGATTCTGATAATTCGGACATTGAATACGATAATTTTGAAATAAACCAAGAAACTACTGGCTCTACCGAACTTATTCTACAAAATGCAGAATTAAATTCTTTAATTACAAAAATACGGCAGATTGTAAGACGTTTTAGAAAATCGCCAACCAAAAATACATTACTACAAAAATATGTCAAAGAAATTATTGGAAAAGAACTTTCTTTAATTTTAGATTGTAGAACCAGGTGGAATAGCTTATTAAACATGCTAGAAAGATTTTTATTACTTAAAGATGCTGTCCGAAAAAGTCTAATAGATTTGAAACTGGACTTAGATTTCAATGACAGAGAAATAAAATTACTATCAAATATAATTTCAAGCCTGCAACCCATTAAGTTAGCCGTTGAAACACTTTGCAATGAAAAGACTAATTTATATATAGCCGATGTTACTTTGAAATTTATGTTGGATGAATTAACCAACCAAAATACATTTTTAAGCGTTGAACTGAAAAATGCATTAATATATAGCATAAAGGAGAGAAGGACTGCTTATTCAGACATATTACACTATTTGTCAGACCCTAATTTGGTTTTGTCAAGTCAAGAAAATTATGATATTTTTAATATAAACAGTAAAGCAACAATAATCAAAAGCATTGTTGAAATACTTACAACTATTGTTGATAGTAATCAGAGTCACTTAAATGATCCTGATTTGGATTCTAATTCAAATGAAAATATTGATACTTCTACACCTAATGTCGAATTATCCATGAAGCAGAAACTCTATGACCTTATCAAACAAAAAACAGAATGTCAAGAAGTGTCAGTTCCACAAGCAAAAAACACGAAAGATTGGAAACAAATAGTAAAAAAAGAATTAGAGTACTTCCGCCAAGAAAAAGTACGGGGGAAGTATATTCAAATAGTATTTGATTGTTTAATGACCATTCGTCCAACAAGTGTTGAATCAGAAAGGGTATTCTCGGAATCTGGATTATTTTGTACAAAGATTAGATCAAAATTAGGAGATAAGACTTTAAATAATTTAAGTTTCTTAAGAAGTTATTTTTTAAAAAATGGTAATCAGTAAAATTGTATTAGGTACTATATATTATTTCTGTTGTATTTTTATTTTTCTGTATTATTTTATTTCTGTTTCTAAAAGTTATTATTATAACTTTTGTTTATTTTGTTTAGAATAACACTTTAATTTTTATATTTTTTATATTCTATATCTTTGAAATAAAAAATGTAAAATAGAAATCAAAATGACTTATATTTTTTATCACCTTAACATTAATTTTCAGGAAAAAAAGTTACCGGTAATTTACCGGTAAACCGGTATTTTAATTTTCATTTACCGAATTACCGGTAAATAAAAAAGTCGGTAAATTTACAATCCCTACTTCAGGCAATACCATTCATAGAAAACAGAATGTTTGAATTCAAGAAGTAGAACACAAACAGCAACTAACATTTTTTCAATATATTTCTTGTGCACAAGCATGGAACTTAAATTACACATATAAAAATTACAAAATTATGCAATATTCAAAAATAAATCTATATATGTAAAAGAAGATGTTTGTTTTTGTTTGTTTGTTTGCTATGCACTCTTATACCATTCGACCAATTGCTACAAACTCAGCAGTTATGTTCACATACTTTAACTTATGTAATGTCATACATCCCACCTTAAAATATCAATTTGATTTCTATAAATTAATTAATTTCTATATATATTCGATTTGCTGGCTTTACATGTAATGCCATCTATTGGCAAAAAATTTAAGAAAATAATAAACTAAATATAATTCTTGTAAAAAAGGATATAATTTTAAAAAATGCATTATATACTGTATTATATTCATTTAATTACTGCAGCAATGATATAGCACATGTATTTTGCACTATACATTCTTCTTGAATTCAAACATCCTGTTTTCTATGAATGGTATTGCCTGAAGAGGACATTTATATACTGACAAAAGTACTTGCAAAGTAAATATTTTTTTTGTAATGCTGGTAAACAGTTGTGTGACTTAGCTTTTTGTGATAGTATATGGCATCTAGATTTATTCATATTTTATTGATTTTATTTTTGAATTAGCTCAATATTTTAAGAATTAAAAAATGTTGAGATAAAATACATAAATTATTATATTTTTATTGAAGTTTCCTTTTATTTTCTTACAATTAGATGCATTTATAAATGCATAATGCATCTAATTGTAATTAAAAATAATATACAAGGTATAATAAAATATAAATTTTTATATAACCTATTATTTCCCTTTGCAAATGAATAATATGATGAAAAGTATTTAATAAATAATTCTTGGGATTCCCAAGATTTTGAAAATTATTTTATTTTTCTAGGAATTCCTGCAATGAAGAAACTTGTATATAAGTAGAAATTTTAGTTACAATATAATGATTTCTTTATGCATTTGCTGATTTAGCTGATACCTCTGTTTAATATTAGTGATTTAAATAAACTTTTTTTATAACAAAATATTTTGAATAGAGTAAAATCTGTTTATTATACTTCGTATAGACAAATCACTTTGGAATTTGTCTATATTGAGGAAGGATGATGATAGCCAACTAATGCTTACAACATCAAGTACAATATAAATAACACTACAAATAATGAAAATTTGGTTTTATTGACTAACATTAAAAAGATACATTAAAGAAAAAAATAACCTGAAGATTTATGAATTATAATTGTTAATATTATTAGTAATGGATACTTGAGGATAGCTTGTTAACTCTATCAAAAAAGTTAGCATTTCTCCAATCTTACCCATTGTTAAAAATGTATTGCTTACTTCATTTAAAAAANAATGTCAAGAAGTGTCAGTTCCACAAGCAAAAAACACGAAAGATTGGAAACAAATAGTAAAAAAAGAATTAGAGTACTTCCGCCAAGAAAAAGTACGGGGGAAGTATATTCAAATAGTATTTGATTGTTTAATGACCATTCGTCCAACAAGTGTTGAATCAGAAAGGGTATTCTCGGAATCTGGATTATTTTGTACAAAGATTAGATCAAAATTAGGAGATAAGACTTTAAATAATTTAAGTTTCTTAAGAAGTTATTTTTTAAAAAATGGTAATCAGTAAAATTGTATTAGGTACTATATATTATTTCTGTTGTATTTTTATTTTTCTGTATTATTTTATTTCTGTTTCTAAAAGTTATTATTATAACTTTTGTTTATTTTGTTTAGAATAACACTTTAATTTTTATATTTTTTATATTCTATATCTTTGAAATAAAAAATGTAAAATAGAAATCAAAATGACTTATATTTTTTATCACCTTAACATTAATTTTCAGGAAAAAAAGTTACCGGTAATTTACCGGTAAACCGGTATTTTAATTTTCATTTACCGAATTACCGGTAAATAAAAAAGTCGGTAAATTTACAATCCCTACTTCAGGCAATACCATTCATAGAAAACAGAATGTTTGAATTCAAGAAGTAGAACACAAACAGCAACTAACATTTTTTCAATATATTTCTTGTGCACAAGCATGGAACTTAAATTACACATATAAAAATTACAAAATTATGCAATATTCAAAAATAAATCTATATATGTAAAAGAAGATGTTTGTTTTTGTTTGTTTGTTTGCTATGCACTCTTATACCATTCGACCAATTGCTACAAACTCAGCAGTTATGTTCACATACTTTAACTTATGTAATGTCATACATCCCACCTTAAAATATCAATTTGATTTCTATAAATTAATTAATTTCTATATATATTCGATTTGCTGGCTTTACATGTAATGCCATCTATTGGCAAAAAATTTAAGAAAATAATAAACTAAATATAATTCTTGTAAAAAAGGATATAATTTTAAAAAATGCATTATATACTGTATTATATTCATTTAATTACTGCAGCAATGATATAGCACATGTATTTTGCACTATACATTCTTCTTGAATTCAAACATCCTGTTTTCTATGAATGGTATTGCCTGAAGAGGACATTTATATACTGACAAAAGTACTTGCAAAGTAAATATTTTTTTTGTAATGCTGGTAAACAGTTGTGTGACTTAGCTTTTTGTGATAGTATATGGCATCTAGATTTATTCATATTTTATTGATTTTATTTTTGAATTAGCTCAATATTTTAAGAATTAAAAAATGTTGAGATAAAATACATAAATTATTATATTTTTATTGAAGTTTCCTTTTATTTTCTTACAATTAGATGCATTTATAAATGCATAATGCATCTAATTGTAATTAAAAATAATATACAAGGTATAATAAAATATAAATTTTTATATAACCTATTATTTCCCTTTGCAAATGAATAATATGATGAAAAGTATTTAATAAATAATTCTTGGGATTCCCAAGATTTTGAAAATTATTTTATTTTTCTAGGAATTCCTGCAATGAAGAAACTTGTATATAAGTAGAAATTTTAGTTACAATATAATGATTTCTTTATGCATTTGCTGATTTAGCTGATACCTCTGTTTAATATTAGTGATTTAAATAAACTTTTTTTATAACAAAATATTTTGAATAGAGTAAAATCTGTTTATTATACTTCGTATAGACAAATCACTTTGGAATTTGTCTATATTGAGGAAGGATGATGATAGCCAACTAATGCTTACAACATCAAGTACAATATAAATAACACTACAAATAATGAAAATTTGGTTTTATTGACTAACATTAAAAAGATACATTAAAGAAAAAAATAACCTGAAGATTTATGAATTATAATTGTTAATATTATTAGTAATGGATACTTGAGGATAGCTTGTTAACTCTATCAAAAAAGTTAGCATTTCTCCAATCTTACCCATTGTTAAAAATGTATTGCTTACTTCATTTAAAAAATATATTGATTATTAAAATTATATTAGCAATTTAATTATTATACTGTAATAATTTGGTAATATAAGTAGGTAGATATGTCATCTGTTGATAATTTTAATATTCATTGAGGATTGATGATGATAATTGATTTATTAATTATATTCTATTTTATTAAATAATTTTCTTAATTTATTTAATTATATAATTTTAACTAATACTTGATTTTTGTATTTGTTGTAGAATAATGCTTTTGAACAATTTATCATAAACTATTGCAATGAGAAATTGCAACAAACATTCATAGAATTTGCTTTAAAACAAGAACAAGAAGAATATGTAAGAGAAGTAAGTATTAAGTATTATTTTGACAAAATAACATTAGGAATAAAAAATGCTTTAATTCATTTCTTATCAGAACTGTGGTTAATTATTAATTTAATTTATTGAATTGNAAAAATGTTGAGATAAAATACATAAATTATTATATTTTTATTGAAGTTTCCTTTTATTTTCTTACAATTAGATGCATTTATAAATGCATAATGCATCTAATTGTAATTAAAAATAATATACAAGGTATAATAAAATATAAATTTTTATATAACCTATTATTTCCCTTTGCAAATGAATAATATGATGAAAAGTATTTAATAAATAATTCTTGGGATTCCCAAGATTTTGAAAATTATTTTATTTTTCTAGGAATTCCTGCAATGAAGAAACTTGTATATAAGTAGAAATTTTAGTTACAATATAATGATTTCTTTATGCATTTGCTGATTTAGCTGATACCTCTGTTTAATATTAGTGATTTAAATAAACTTTTTTTATAACAAAATATTTTGAATAGAGTAAAATCTGTTTATTATACTTCGTATAGACAAATCACTTTGGAATTTGTCTATATTGAGGAAGGATGATGATAGCCAACTAATGCTTACAACATCAAGTACAATATAAATAACACTACAAATAATGAAAATTTGGTTTTATTGACTAACATTAAAAAGATACATTAAAGAAAAAAATAACCTGAAGATTTATGAATTATAATTGTTAATATTATTAGTAATGGATACTTGAGGATAGCTTGTTAACTCTATCAAAAAAGTTAGCATTTCTCCAATCTTACCCATTGTTAAAAATGTATTGCTTACTTCATTTAAAAAATATATTGATTATTAAAATTATATTAGCAATTTAATTATTATACTGTAATAATTTGGTAATATAAGTAGGTAGATATGTCATCTGTTGATAATTTTAATATTCATTGAGGATTGATGATGATAATTGATTTATTAATTATATTCTATTTTATTAAATAATTTTCTTAATTTATTTAATTATATAATTTTAACTAATACTTGATTTTTGTATTTGTTGTAGAATAATGCTTTTGAACAATTTATCATAAACTATTGCAATGAGAAATTGCAACAAACATTCATAGAATTTGCTTTAAAACAAGAACAAGAAGAATATGTAAGAGAAGTAAGTATTAAGTATTATTTTGACAAAATAACATTAGGAATAAAAAATGCTTTAATTCATTTCTTATCAGAACTGTGGTTAATTATTAATTTAATTTATTGAATTGAAGGATAGTTATTTAATATACAGTCAACCCCCCTATAACACTGTTGATTATTCCGTTTTATATAAATTCCATGTTGTACAAGTCACTTAGATTTTACAAATACATGCTGGGCTGTGAACAGCTTATGTATTTGTAAAATCGAAATGACTCGTACAACATGGAATTCATATAAAACGGAATAATCAACAGTGTTATAGGGGGTCGACTGTACATGTTTTATATATATATATATATATATGCTATATTACAAATTTCTGAATACTATGACATTAGCAAAGAATAGATAAAATTAAAATAAAAACAAAAAGTTTCTTTTAGCTTTGTAGTAGCAGCTTATCATTTTTATGAAAAAGAAGATAACTCCTTAATGAGAACATAGAGGACGAGAAGAAACAAGGTTCCCAATATGCTTGCATTTTCTGCTGGAATTTTGGTTCTTTTGTAGCACTTAATTACATATACCCAGTTTGTATTGTTGAATATGTAAAAGTTTTCTTCATATCTCTCACTGATATTGGTAACTTGATATTATTCCATATGGAGAAAAAAATTATTATCCAGCAGTTTTAAGTCTTTTTTATTTGATTATATGGAATGCTCTACCGTGTGAAGTATGAAGTTTCTTGTTATGTCCTTAATATATTCCATGATTATATTATCTGAGGTTGGGCAAATGGAACAGCATAGACTCTGGAGTGTTCTCATAATGATTTTGATGTTCTGTTTTGAACAATTGTTCAAGTAAAATTAGCAGAATTGTAGCTTGATCGTTTAGGTGATCGTTGGCTGTTTCTATATACTTATTGGTCTTTGTGATGTTTGTTATATGAATTATTTTATTGGAACATATGGTGTAATGGGTAAAATGGGTTGAATTTTACCCATTACACCATATGTTCCACTTATGACATCATTACATCATGTGGTAACTGTTACATATCATAGCCATTATTAGTGATATATGATAAAACACTGAAATGAATAACAGTTATAATGAGTAAATGCACTTGATCCTTTTGTGTTCATTATAACTAAGTTTGATTGTGTAACAGAAAATAAATTTTTCGTTAATTCTTAAATGATATCTGCTAACTTATCAACCCTACAGATGAATTGATCAACTACATAGGGTTTACTTGCAGTTAGGTTAGGAATTTTTGATTTAAATGTTTTTAATTTATATTGATGAGGTAGTTGTTATTTAATTGAAAACTTTAAAGTATGATATTTTACTTTGATGAAAATTTTTTCACATTTTTATCCATATGTTTTGATTTTTTTATAAAATGTTGAATTTTCTTATATTTTGAACATGGTCATATATGGTGCAAGTATGTTGTTATTGTATATTTAATTGCATATTGAATTTGTATATTTAGTGAAAATCAGTATTATATTTTTAAACTATTCCTGTAATAAATAAATTTTTTCATAATCAAAAAAACTTAATTTGACTAAATAAAATTTAAAAGTAAAAACGAAAAATCTTTTTTAAAATACTATAAATATAAAATCGTACTTACTAAACCTTTATTGTCCGGTACTTCTTAACTATTCGTACAAACTAACGTTTCGGCCTCATTCAAGGTCTGCTTCAGGTTAAAAGGACAATCTGATTCCATTCTTAGAATGAACGTTTAGTTTTAAAATATACAAACTCATGCGCATGAGTGTTACGCATCGTCATCGTTTTCTTGTTCTTCGCATAGGAAAGCATGTTGCCATCTTTGGTGTTTATACATCTCCCTGTCCGGCTGGCTTTGTAAATTTCCAGGGCTTCAAGGGCTCTGATGTGGTCCGTATGAAAAGCTCTATTTATTAATCTGGCGTTGGATAGTTCTGCGTGAATATCCAGGTCAGTTGCATAGGTGGATAGGGCAGTGGTTTAACGAGCATGGTCTGTCATATTTGTGCTCTTTAATCCTCTGTTGGATGGAACGCTTCATGGAGCCAATGTACACCATTTCTCTCTTAAATCTATCATCTCTCACAGGAATACCATATACCCCCAGAGTCCTAAGATCGTTCTGTTTGTCTTTTGCATTACGTAATAATTGATATATATTGGGGGATCTTCGGTACACTTGGTGTTCGTTTTAGTTACAATTTCTTTATATAACACTTGAAATTGTTTGTTGTATTCAATGATGTTGCATCTTCTGGTTGGGTCCTGGCTAGTCCTTTGAGTAAGGGGTGCCTCCTGTGTATCACGTGTTTGGAAATAGGCACGTGCTAGCTCTCGTATTAGTTCTTTTTTGTATCCATGTGCCACTGCGATTCATTCTACATTTTGTAGTTCAATTATGGTGTCACTCCACTTAGAAGGGTACATAAATGCTCTTCTAACTAACACCCAGAATGCTGCGACCTTATAAGTGTATGGGTCCGCTGAGTTTGCTGGTATAAACCTTGGGATGTAGCTAGGTTTATAATGTATACCCGTTTCGACCAATTCACCGTTGTTAATGTCCAAGAAGTGTGCAGTGGTGGTAGTCAACTGTACGAACTGTACGAATAGTTAAGAAGTACCGGACAATAAAGGTTTAGTAAGTACGATTTTATACAAAATACTGATATTCGGATTAAAAGATTAGATGATTTGTGACTATTGATATAAATATAATAGACTTATATGGTAACTCTTTTATTTCACAATTTTTGTTTTTAAATCATTTTTAAATTACAGTAGAGCATCATTTATCCGAATCAATTGGGGACTGGGGTTGTTTGGATAACTTATTTTTCAGATAACCGATTATGTACGAAAAAATATATTAACCTGTCCTGTGTTGAAATTTTTCTCCGTTGCATGTCGCTTTGCGTTGAATTTTCATTGATGTTAAGCTTAATGTAAACTTTTTAAAATAATAATTGTGGCTATTGTATCGTTAAAAGTTATTTCTTTATTTTTTACAAACAAAATATTTATATTGAAAAATAAAAACAAAAAAAATTATACTTTAGAAGTTAATCTAGTATCAAAAACGTTCAATTCAGCATGACACAGTCCTCAGAAAAACACCACACAAAAGTGTCAGTGCAGCCAGCTAAAACACACACATCAACAAAAGAAATATTGGAGTAGCCCAAGATATAGCCAAAGATTGCAGTGCCACAGCACTAGCGAAAATTTAAATTTGCTGACTGGAATTCTTTCGGATAAACGACGCTCTACTGTATATCTTATCATCAAAGTTTTTATATTTAACCTGACATTAAATAATAAAAAAAAAAATTATATCAACAAAATTATTAATGTCAGAAATGCTGATTATATTTTTTTAAATATATAATAACATTGCGTGAATATGTTATCTAGAAACTATTTTATTTTTGTCTAATTAACATGTAACTCATGTTAACTAGGTAACATTTCAATGTTTGGGATGAATAACAATAAAAATAATATTTATTATTTCATGACAGTACAAAATTTCAAAATGATACAATGCGATAACACAAGTTTTTATCTCAACTTATTTTTATACACCACACCCAGCAGCATATCCAGGATCTAAACTAGAGGGGGGCAACTCATATTAGTTTTGAGGAAGTGGGTATGGAGAGTGAGATTTCACAACAGATAGCTCTAGTCTAGTCACAATATTTATTATTCAAACTGATACTAATTCAAGAGAAAAATTCACATAAAAGGCTTCTTTAATGCCTTTTTATGTGAATTTTTTTCTTGAATCAGTAAAATTGTTGGCATGACATCCACTCTGCATATTTAAGTTACTTAACAAACTGATACTAAATTGATATGTCTGTGCTGTGTGTCTGTGTATCAATTACTACACTTTAATTTTTTTTCTAGGGAGGGGAACTGTCCTTCCCTGCCCCTAAAGGATACGCCCTTGATCACATCTATATATATAAGTAATTGTGATATATAAAAGTAAAAGGTAACATTGTGTTATATTCAGTTATCATGTATATTATAATACGTTTAACTTAACGTATTGTTGAGCAGCAATTTGAATTTGGCTCCATGGTACCCTGTGAATGTGTAAAAAATGTAAGGAAATGAGATATTTAAAAGATTCACTAATATATGTCTGTCATATTAAGCTGAAGAAGGAGTGAATTGATCTCTCTCCTGAAATGCATCCCAAAATATTATGAAAGGAACTACTTTTTGTTAATAAAATAATCAGTAACACTACATTTTAATAGTCTTATCATTGGTGTATAACAAATCCTGAAAATTTAAGCAAGAAAGTGAGCTTAAAGAAGAAAATTTGAAAGAAATTGAGAAAATAATAGTTTTTTGATTAAAACAAAGGTAGATAACTTAATTATAATGGGATCTTTTTGCATGACAGTCCACTGTGAAGACTGTTATATGATTTAATAATATCTTAGAACTTTAGAATAACAAATATTTTAAAATGGATAATTGAGAATAACTTTGAGTTTTTTTTATTTGCTGTTGATCTTTTCCAGTACATTGATTTTTGAGAGCTATGAGATATTATAGTACAGGTATCTCTTGTATAACATGGTAGTTACATTCTGAAAAAGAACCATGTTATGCAAATCCATGCTAAACAAAATGAAGGACTAGTGGTTATGTCTAGAAGTTAACAAAAGTATATTACTGTATTTCATTACTAACTGAAAAATGCATATTAAAGTAATCAATAATTTATTTCCAATCAATAATTTACTAACAGTCACAATTAAAAGTATTGTATTATATTAATTTTAGTTAAATGAGGGAATTTTTTTTTTACAGAATGTCATCATCTGAGCTTTTCTATAGATGACGAAATAAAAATATGTTATTAATCAAAAATTTTTATAGACGGTTGTTTGTTCAGTTGAGTACAGAGCAATCTTTTTCCAGAATTTGTGTTCAAATACCAAATTGTTTAAGTTAGGAACAGTTTGATTACCGAGATAGTGCCATATTTTGTTCATCATTTTTACGAATGATTGCTTACCTATGGTTAAAGAAAGGTTTAATAACATTTATCTAAAAATGTTTAAATAAATTTTAGTAAATACAAAGATTAATCTATAAAACACAGTGACAGTTTTAAAGGCTAAAATCTGAATGCAACGATAACAACATCTGGTTGATAGGAAAGGTAGGACAAGGAAGGAAAAAAATTGTACTATTAATATTCATTAAAGCAAACCTGACAAAAAGCACAAAACAAATTAAAAATTTCAATATTTTAAAATTCATGGGCAAATTTGATGCAACACATATGCTTACTTATATAAAAAATATCAAATAATAGAGTTTACACTTAAAAACTGTAAAATTTTGTATGGAAGATTTTGCAGTTTCTTGAACTGTGTTAAAGAGAAACCAGAAGCCATGTTAGAGGACTGGAACTGCATTAGAGCAAAACCAGAAGACACATTAGAGCAAAACTGGAAACTTTATTGTGCAGAGGATTTCCCCAATTTTTGAACCATGTTAGAGTGTAACTGTGTTGTAGAAGTGCCATGTTGTACAAGAGATACCAGTATTTATAAGATTTCTTATGATGTCATAACAATGTGCTTTATATTTTGATTTAGCTTTATATATGCATACTTTTTAAAAAAAAATTATAAATTAAATTTTTTACACATTTCTTAATAATGAAATATTATACTATTTAATTATATTAATCTTATAATTATTCATTTATTATGTTTTTAAGGGAATTCAGTGGGAACATATTGATTATTTTAACAATGCTGTCATTTGTGATCTTATAGAAAAGGTAAGAATTAAATCAACTCTACTACAAAAATTAGGGTTGCCAACTGCATTGAACTGCATTGGTCCTCTTGTCTTCTTTTTATCGATAATGTCTGCCTTTTGAGTACAATTTTAAATGTTTGTTTTTGTTTAATTTTGTTTTATCTCTGAAATGTTACCAGTAGATGATGATCCAATTTTTATTTTCTTGTTTTAAAGTATAGTTTGTCTTTATAACTCACTAAATAACAGAGAGAGAAAGACACCTATTATTAATTACAGTTGGACAAGCAAATAAAATTTAGGGACTCAACTAGAGTATTGATTTGCAACAGTTTGTAATATTTCTAACATTGAGTTTAAAACTCTATTTGTCTATTTAAGTTTTCATAATTTACAGTTAGTCAACAAATATTTACAGCAAACTACTTTGTTCTAAATACAGTAGAACCTCGATTATCCGCCCTAATTGGGGACTGGGGTTGGTCGGATAATTGAAAAGTCGGATAACCGAAAAGTATGAAAAAATCCATTANATATATTGAAAAATATAAAAACAATAAAAAATTATACTTCAGAAGTTAATTTAGTATCAAAAACGTAAAATATTTGAGTAGCCCAAGACATAGCCAAAGATTGCAGCGCCACAACACTGGCGAAAATTTAAATTTGCCGACTGGAATTCTTTCAGATAATTGATGTTTCGGATGATTGACTTTCAGATAATCGACACTCTACTGTATTTGTATTTTTAATTAATTATTAATTTTAATTTTCTGTGCAAGCATTTTTAATTTTTAAATTACTTCTGTTGCATTCGATATGTATTTGTTTGTTCATTTTATGTTAAATTGGTGTACTTCACTGAGGAAGGCCTATGATATTAGATTGAATATGTTTTGAATTAATAAATATATTGCTGGAGTTACAAGGTGCACTTTTTCTTTTGTTTCTTATTCTCCAGTCAGATGATATTGTTTTTGTTTATTATTTAGGTTGGCACATTATGTTTTGCCATAAATCAATAATCATTTTGTATTTTTCAGAATTATTATAAATTTGCCAGAAACACTCCAAAATGCTTGGAAATGATCAATGAATAAGGTTAAATAATTAAATTTTGTTAAATACCTTTAAGTCTCTTATTGTGAATTAAAGATTTTCTAAATTTGAGGATTTTTGAGAAATATTGTAGCGCCACATCACTAGCGGACATTTGAAATTTGCCGACTAGGACGGTCGGTTAACCGAGGGGTTGGTTGATCGGGGGGCGGATAATCGAGGTTCTACTGTACCCTTCCTTGTACAATGTCTGTGCCACGTGTTTTTTTTTTTTTTTGTGCAAGAACGTTGGCAACCCTAGAATAAGTGTTTAATGGAGCATAAATAAAAACAACTGTATTGGCAAATACTTTGAAGTTATAAAAGCCATTTTCAAGTTAGCTAATTCTGAACTGTTACTGTGATAATTGTTATTAGGAAGATGCATGCTTATGAGGTGTGGATAGTAAATTAAACAATTTTAAACTCTATCTGAAATAAACAGTAAGATTTCTTAAATTATTAGTGTTTAACATAGAGTTGGAAGATGAATCTAGAACTTAATTCTTTTGAAGACAAAGTCCTTTCCAAAAAAATATAGGAACCACCATTTATTAACTTTATGTTCCAGACATTACACTTTTGGCGACTGACCTTTCTTTTTAGGCTACTGGCCGCCAAACAATCCTTTAAAAAACAAAAATATATAACTAATATTAAAAATATAAACATTTTTAAAAACAGGAACTGGTGATATTCGGACGTCTTCTCTTTTCCATCATATCTTCTTGGGGTTCGGCTTTTATCTACAACGGAATAAGCACTGGTAAAATGTAGATGAGGAAAGCTGGCCCCTGGTGATGATACTTTAAAATTCTTTTTGTAAATTTTCGTCCGATGGAGATAATTATGATTAATTCTTTTGAAGACAAAGTCCTTTCCTAAAAAATATAGAATCTATAGAAATATAGAATCTAGAACTGTGATGATTACTAAATAACAAAAAACTGTACTGGTACAAAAAAAATCAGGTTTATTTTCAAAATCCTACAAATTAATGTGTATTTCCTTCAACATACTCTCCTCCTCATCTATACATAGTTATAGACAAATTTTCCATTGTTCAAAGCAGTGCTGCAGGTCATCCACTAACACTCTTCAGCAGACCCACTGTTTTTGATTTTACCTCAGTGACAGACTGAAAATGAGTTCCTTTCAATGCAGTTTTTACTTTGAGGAATAGATGAAGTCACAGAGAGCTAAATGCAATGAATAAAAGGAGATATTTGAGCACTGGAATGTACTTATCAGCTAAAAGTTGCATCCAGAAGGGGTGTTGTAAGTGGATTCATTGTCTTCATATGGAATCTATGATTATTTCTTGTATTTATGCCTTTTCTTTCTTATTCCTTTTTGCATCTTAGTTAGGATCTCCAAGTAGTATTTATAATTAACAGTTTGACCATCAAATATCCATTTGATCATAATTATGCTTCTGAAGTCAAAAAGTTGATCATTGTGTTTTTAAAGTTGCTAATTAAATTATAAGATTAATAAGATTATTAATCTTATAATAATTAAATTATAAGATAATATTGATAAGATACATAATTCAATTAGCACCTTTAAAACACAAGAGCTACATCTTGTCAACCAACATCTAAGAGGAGAGTTGTGTTACATTATTTTCTCATCTTAAGACTAATACATAAAGAACTAGCTGATGTGAACAATGTAAATGTTGTATATAAGTGTAAATCAACAATCTTTAGAATTCTTTTTAATGACAAGTACCCTATCAGCCACAATAACTCCACTAGTGTTTACATGATTCCAATTGAGGACCAGTATTATGACATGAATATAACATATGTGGGAGCTACCAGAATTACTTTGACACAAAAGATTACAGAACATAAATACACTGTTGAAAAGCATTTCAATACCTTAGCAGCACATGTTGCCCAATGGGATGTAAGTATAAAATAGAATGAGGACAGGATTATTAGACCTGCTAGGAATCCTAATACTGCTGTTACATTCTTAGAAATGTTAGAAATTTTTAAAACCAGCTAAAAATTGTTTTGTATCAATCATAGGGATGCTGATATCCTATCTATGGCATGGAAGTCCATTTATAAAATGTAACTTTTGACTTGGTCCTTTTATAATTGCTTTTGTTTATATTAATCATTATTTTTATCACTCATACCATTTACAGTAGAGCGTCGATTATCCGAATCAATTGGGGACTGGGGTTGTTCGGAAAATCGATATTTTGGATAACCGATTATGTATGAAAAAATATATTAACCTATCCTATGTTGAAATTTTTCTCTGTTGCGTGTCGCTTCAGGTTGAATTTTCGTTGATATTAAGTCTAACGAAGACTATTGTATCATTAAAAATTATTTTTTTATTTTGTACAAACAAAATAAATATATTGAAAAATATAAAAACAATAAAAAATTATACTTCAGAAGTTAATTTAGTATCAAAAACGTAAAATATTTGAGTAGCCCAAGACATAGCCAAAGATTGCAGCGCCACAACACTGGCGAAAATTTAAATTTGCCGACTGGAATTCTTTCAGATAATTGATGTTTCGGATGATTGACTTTCAGATAATCGACACTCTACTGTATTTGTATTTTTAATTAATTATTAATTTTAATTTTCTGTGCAAGCATTTTTAATTTTTAAATTACTTCTGTTGCATTCGATATGTATTTGTTTGTTCATTTTATGTTAAATTGGTGTACTTCACTGAGGAAGGCCTATGATATTAGATTGAATATGTTTTGAATTAATAAATATATTGCTGGAGTTACAAGGTGCACTTTTTCTTTTGTTTCTTATTCTCCAGTCAGATGATATTGTTTTTGTTTATTATTTAGGTTGGCACATTATGTTTTGCCATAAATCAATAATCATTTTGTATTTTTCAGAATTATTATAAATTTGCCAGAAACACTCCAAAATGCTTGGAAATGATCAATGAATAAGGTTAAATAATTAAATTTTGTTAAATACCTTTAAGTCTCTTATTGTGAATTAAAGATTTTCTAAATTTGAGGATTTTTGAGAAAAACAAAATTTATTTATATTTTATAAGTTTCAGTTGATGTTACAAGAATGCAAATATAGGGATCCACAGAGCATTGCTGCATCCTTTCTGAGTTTAGTAATTTATATTATTTTAATATTACATTATAAGTTTAAATTCTGGTAATGTTTTACTTCTTCAGCCCTTTGTAAATGCTTTTAATTTGCATAAGAGTGTCTTTTGCAGTTATTTATTTCTGATTTTTTTAAAAATCAAGTAGTATCATAGTAAATTTTCTCTGCCTTTGTTTTCACAATCACAGCTGATAGAACATACCAGCTTCAGGTTATTAGAGTAAATATTAATATTTGATCAAATTCTACTGTTGACTTTTATTTTTTTTAGTGCAGAAACAATTCCATATAAACAACCAATAATGTTGCATATATGAAAGTTATTTTCTGTCTGTATTTGCCAAAAACTTGAAAATTCATGTTTAATTTATTTATACAGTGATGCCTTGTACTTTGAATTTAATTCATTCCAAGATGTCATTCAAACTCCAAATTGTTGAAAAGTTCAAATTAATTTTTCCTGTTAGAAATAATGGAAAGTGAATTAATCCATTCCTACACCCTAAACAACATTTATTTTGATAAACTTAAAACAGCAAATATACATAATTTAAGTAAAAATAACATAATTAAATGCTCTAACAATAAATTAAAACATGAAAATGATAAATAAAATATGTAAATACTGTACAGTATAATAAAATAAAAATTGCATTTATTGGTTGCACACTGTGAACTTCAGCATCTGTACTTCAGTATGATGTGTAATTTAATTATAACAGTTATAAAATTTAATATATTATAGATAGTGTGAAATTTTATTCTTTGTTTAGAAGCTTACTTTAAACTCTTTACTTCACATTTTGTTTGAATAAAATCAAGTTGTAATATCTTTGAATAAAAAGCATAGCAGGCATATTACACTTGATGTGTTTTGAAAAGGATATAACACTATGCAAAAAAAAAAAATTGTAATGTGTATGGGGAAGATGCTTCTAAACTTTGAACATGTCAAATGTAGTTTAAAAAGTTCTCTTTGGAAAAATTTTGAAGTAAAGGATACAAAATGTATGGGATTGTCCAAAAGTTGTCAACAAAGAAAAATTGCAGGAAGAAATTTAAAAATTTATGAGTAACACACATTGCAATATATATCACCAAACACACTGAAAATAAAGTGTAAAAAGTACTGAAAACATACAAGCATAGGATGAGAGTGAGATATGACTTGAACACACAATAGATTGCATTTATGCTTTGAGCACATTTTTTAACTGTATGCACAGTTCAAACTCTGAGTTGAATTTTTGTCAAATTTTGAATTTGAACTCTGAAGTGTTACTTGTTTTAGAGAGTCATGTGAAGTATGAGGTCCCATTGTACGTACTTTTATTTTCCTAAGCAAAGCTTGGTATCTTGGGTAGTATTTTATATGGAATATTGATAGTTTCTTTCTGCACTGCCTCTAAAGAATTTTGAATTTACCATTATGTTACAATGCATACATACATTGCCATGGTGATATCTATCATAATAAAAATTTGAAATTAACTTATTTGAAGATTAGTCTATAACTGAAAAGTATTTGTAAGCAGCTCTTGTTTTATTTATGCTCCATTAAATAAGAATTTAAAATAAACTTTAATCTTATGCTAATATATTGTATTAAAATTTAATTTTAATACAATATATTGTATTAAAATTTAATTTTAATACAATATATACTAAAACTTAGTTTTATCTAAAGAAAATGTTTAGTTAACTATTTGTCAGTATTAGATTTTTTAATAAATAAATCATTAATATTTATTAATCCTATTTTGTAGATTTTATAAATATTCACATTTAGCATAGTGAATTAGCATTAACTTGATGAAGAGTAAAAGAGTCTATGAAAAGAAAAATTTTTAACTTAACTAACAGTAATTAATTTTTCAGTAACTTGCAATTTAACAAATCCAAGATATTATAATTATTTATATAACTAACCAGTAATTGGTTATAACATACCTGGTTTTTTTAACTGTGTAACATAAAGCATTATTATCAGATTTATTAGTAAATAGCAAGAGTTGAAAGCACTCAGTGAGAAACTGAACATGTTAAGAAAGCAATCATTTTGAATAGATGTTCTAGTGTAATGTAGTTAGGAAAAATAATAATAATAATAATGTAAGATGGAATCACCTTTTTTTATTTTTTGTTTCTTTACTTTCAGTTTTGGAATATTTTGTTTAGTTAGGGAGAAAGACTACACTTCTATCAAAACTTTAAACTTATGGAAATGCACTTGGAAATGTGCCATTATTTGGAACATATCACCAGATTGAGAGAATTTTGCATAGCACATACAGATTGTTTTTTCTAATCTACTGTATAGAAAAATGATGGCCCAATATACAGGTATCTCTTGTATTACACAATAGTTATGTTTTGAAAAAGTGCCTTGTTATGTAAATTCATGCTGTACAAAACAAAGGACTAATGCAAGACATGGGGTTAGGTTTCAAAAGTTAACAAAAGTATACTATTCTTTTTCATTACTAAGAGAAGTATGTTTATGAAAGCAATCAATAATTCATTTACAATCAATAATTAACTAACAATCACAAATAAAAATACAGGTAACCCCGTATAACACGGCACTTCTATAGCACGGATTCGCTCTAACACGGTTCGAGAATTGGTACCATCCCCCGTATAACATGGTACTTTTATAGCACAGATTCACTCTGACACGGTTCGAGAATTGGGTAAAACCCTCGTACAACAGGAAATGTAATAAATTTTTACATACTTAACTAATAATAGTTCACGAAAGTTATTATTTTCGTGTACTATTAGTACTTAAGTATGTAAATTTTCTCTTCTCGCCTTCTGTCGATACACGTGGTCCTTCTCGAAACTTGTTTCAATGTTGCCAGATCGCGACGCTTCTGCTTCTGATGTTGCCGAATGTTTTTCCCTTATTCCATACTTGCTTTATTCTTCATAAGTGCTTAGCACCATATAAGGAAATTTATAAAGACCTTTTAACTAGAAGCAAGCAATCTAAAATTACATACATTTTGCAAAAGGTAAAGCATGGATCTGAAGATAATGCAGAAAAATGCTCAGAGGATAAGGATAACTTGCCAAAAAGAAAACGCTCTCGGTTAATTAATAGTGTTTTTAGTGATGACGAAGAAAATATTGTTTAATTTATATTAATATGTATCACTTAAAAAAATTTTAATGAAGATATTTATCTTAATTATGAAAATATACTAGCATGTTTTTTAATTTTTGGAACCTAACCCTTCTTTTCGTATTAGTTCTTTGTTTCGTATAACACGGATTTGCATAACACGGCAATTTTTTGGAACGTAACTACCGTGTTATACGGGGGTTACCTGTACTGTATAACATATTAATATTAAAATAACTTAAAAGAGGTGATTTTCTTTTTACAAAGTATTATTGTCTTTTGAGCTTTTTTGTTGATCTAGATCAGAAATATCAGCAACATCTTCATTTTTTTTAATTTTTATTATAATTTTTTATGGATGACAAAATAAAAATCAAAACGTTATTAATCAAAAATTTGTTTTAGAGGGTCATGTTTGTTCAGTTGATTACTGAGTGATTTTTTCCCCAGAATTTGTGTTCGAATGCTGAATTGTTTGAATTGGGAACTGTTTAAATGCTGAGATACCATTGTGTTTTGTTCTTCATTTTTACGAATGATTACTTCATTCGTAAGCATGTAGCAACCTATGGTTAGCAAAAGTATAACAACACTTACTTGAGAATGTTTAAATAAATTTTACTAAATATGAAGATTAATCTATTACAGTGTTTTCCAACCTTTTTTATGCTATGCCCCACCTAAACCTTTCTAAAATTCTTATGCCCCCCTAACATATACAGCGGCTATACGGTTAACTTAAACTCTGGACGAGACCATTTTCGAATTGCCCCCTTTAACAATTCAATTTCCCACCTGTGGGGCATGGCCCCATGTTGGGAATCAATGATCTATAAAAAGAAACTACAGTGACAGACTTAAAGGTCAAAATCTGAAAGCAATGACAATGATATCTGGTTTATAGGAAAGCCAGGACAAGGAAGAAAAAATTGCTCTATCAGTTTTCATTAATGTTAACCTGATGAAAGGTGCATAACAAAAAAAAATTTCAATATTATAAAATCCACGGATAAATTTGAGACAAGCTTACTTGAATAAAAAAAAATATCAAATAACAGAGTTTGCATTTAAAAATTGCAAAATTTTGTATAGAGAATTTCTGTCTCTTAATACAGAAGTACTGAATTGTTGAATATGATGAATATTCAACAATTATGAGATGAATATTATTATTGTTTTTAATATAAAGAAAGTATTACATTGTAAAATTATTATAATTTTGTATATTATAGAACAATCATGGTATCTTGGCCATGCTTGATGATGAATGTTTTCGGCCAGGTCCAATCACAGATGAGACATTTTTATTTAAATTAACTCAAGTTTGTCAAGACAATCCATATTTTGAAAGTAGAGGATGTCGTAATTTTACATCAGACAGCTCACTGCCACACCAGTGCTTCCGACTTCGACATTATGCTGGTGCTGTAAGGATATTTTATTTATATATATTGATTTTAAATAGATAATATATTGTAATTAATAAAATTTTATTTGTATTATTTATATTGATGAAACTTTATAATTCAATGGTTAGAAATAATGGGTTTAGAACAGGGGTCACCAAAGTGGTCTATATCAACCCCCAGGGGTCGATGCAACATCATTGGGGGGGGTCGATGCGGCTAGGGGTCGATTAGGGGTCAATGCAGCAATGGGTTACAACCTTTTTTTTTACAGATATCAGAGATCACAACGTTTTTTTATTTTGCTCATACACTTACTACACTTACACTTATAATAAAACTTTACGGTGGGGGTCAATGTGAGGTTTTGGAAAGTGGTTGGGGGTCGACAGTTAAAAAAGTTTGGCGACCCCTGGTTTAGAACCATATGCAGATAACTCTAAATTTTGAAATTTTTTAATAACAACATATTCCTATTATATTTAACATGCTCTATTAGGAATTATAAATATATATATAAAATTTGAAATGATCATATAAAATACCAAATTTTTGGTGGACAAAGGTTGGTTCAATTTTCAGATATCATTTTATAAATTTATAGTTAATTAATTCATAGTTAGTTAATTAAATGGTTTCATAGTTAGCCATGTACAGTTCTATATTCATAAAATATAAAATATAATATTCATAAAATCAATCATTTTTTAAAAAATATCTATAAAATCTTTAATCATATTGAATTGCATTGTTTTTTATTTAATTTCACACATGATACAACACTAATAATTTTTAAGGAGCCAGTTTATTACTTAATAAAACATTTTTTGTGACAAATGAATCTCTCTTCAGGTTCAAACTTAAAAACAACTTTAAAATTGAATATAAAACTTAGAATAAAACTACCAGTCACACCAAAAACATTTTAAATAATTCTTCTTGACCATACAACTAAAGGCCTTAATGATGTGCTTAAAATGCTAGAGAAGCTTGAACTTTGGAAAAGGGTTGAGGTTTTAAAATGAAAGGAGAATGTTTTTAATTTTTGATGTTCAACTGGTAGTTGTTCTAATTTTTACATTTGATTTTAAAGTTATTATTAAGTTTAGATTTGAAGATGAAATTTAATAGGCAAAAAAAATGTTTTATCAAGTAATAAACTATCTCCTTAAAAATTATTACCATTTTATCTTATGGATGATATATATATTGAGTAACTTATCATTAGAGAACTGTTGTTGAATTTTTTTATTATATTATAAAAAAAACAAAAATATATTTCTTGGATGTCATCTTTGACTTCATAAATATTACATTACTATAAACAATGCTAACAAATTTCAGGAATCCAAATTTTAATCATTTGTAATCAGGATTAAATGTTTATTGGGACCTTTTCTTGTCTCATCATCAGATTCTTCTCAGAGCTTTTAACTTTCAAAAATATGTTTGATTATGTGTTTGAAAGCCATTGTGAGTTTTTTACAGATTCAAACCTTTTGTATGAATTTTAAAAATATTTAAAGCCTTTTGTATTTCTTGCAAGTTCCAAAACCATCATAGATTTTTTTACAGATTTTCAAATTAGCCAAACCATTTGTAAAGATTTAATACATTTAACCAATTTTATGTTCCTAACAGTCTCTTTAGGTGCATTTCTTATAATACATAAGACACATTACTAACTCTAAAATTAGTTTACATTTAATTAAATTGAAATAAACCACCAAAAAATCTAGCAGTGCAGTGAAATGTTATAGCTCATGGTCACCCAGGCAAATTTGAATTAGGGGGCCCCATATACAGTATTGACTTCAGACATTTTTCTTTGAGGAAATTTTTGAGTGGAAAATATTTTCTTATAAAAGATTGGTTTGGGTCCCTGTTGGTGCCCCAGGCCATTGCCCTTTTTGTCTGTAGGATAATGCATCACTATAGCACTGGTACATGTGATAGTCTCAGTTTTATGCTACATTACACCTCATTCTCTAAACCAAACCAAGTTTGTCATTAACCACTAGTGCTGATGCATGTCTGGAACACTCCACCCTAAAACAGTTTATACCTTTCAATCCGAAAATAATCACAAATACAAAATTCTTGATACTTGAAGTCCCACTTTTCCATTTTTCATATTTGGTAATTATTTGTTATTGTTAAGAGCCCTTAAAGCCAAGTTCCCTTATCCTCTTTTCCTCTGGCTAAAAACCTTGTATACAGCCGATGTCTTTCTTGTATGTATGTTGTCAAGAGCCAGATCCAAGATCCAGTTGATCTTCTTGCCTCCTTACATTAGGTATAATGTGAGGCTCTAGAAGTGTCCTGGAATCCCACTAAATTTATTAATATTTAATATATATTCAGTTGGGATTGAATTAAATGTTGATTTTGACCAATCCTGTGATCTAATATCAGATGTCATTACACTCAGTAATGAGTAACTGACCAATTAGAAAGTAAGAACAAGGAAAAGCGACCAATTGGAATGGGTGATCAGGGACATAAAATAATGAAAACCCCAAATTCCAAGAATGAAGAGCTTCTTTTCTGATTTCTCTTAGCACTGAACCATTTTTTGTTGTGTCTTCAACCTTACCTTCAACTCTCTCGCCAGATCAATATCATTTCTTCTCTGGACAGTTTACATCATCACTCTGAAACTGCCAAGACAATGAAAGGATCTTTCTGTCTCAGACAGATCTTTTGGATTTCTTTTTTAAAAGATAAGACCTTATAGATTTTCCCATTTCTTGTGAGAACACCAAGATCACTGGTTTCTGTAAGCCTCTTTTGTATTGTAATTTGAATGATTTGTGCTCAATCTGAAGACGGAATTTTGAAATATCAAAAATACTTGGTTTTAATTAAATACTTTGCAAAACTTAACACCAGTAGACAGTTTGCTTTATTCTTATCCTTCTATCAATAAATTGTAAGGCCCCAGAATCAGTTCAAACCAAAAAGGGGAATTAAGACAAAATTGTAGAAATTATTTAACATGGAGAAATAACAGTTATTGTAAAGTTTCGAGTTCACCGATGTCAAGATGGTGATGCCAGACTTCGACACCTCTCTTAGTCAGAGAAAGGATGGTGCCGGATAAACCATCCTTGGCAGACCTTTTTCGCAATCTGAACTGGTCTTGAATTCCACCTGGAGACAGATGAGACCATAGGGGAGTGAGGAAGGGGATGCCTGACCAATGAGGAGAAGGTGGGGAGACAAAACCAGTATAAAATCACCATGTGACAAAAGACATTGTTTGATCCAGAAGTTTGTTCCATTAGTCACTCCTTGTGGTTGGTTGTTATCCACTGTCTTCAACCCTTCATCTCTCCATGTCACTGTTGAAAGGGACAAGCTGACAGTTACTGTGTGTGTATCAGATCTACCTGCAGGACACTGACTTGCCACTGCCCGGGCTGCCCATCTGCAACATCTGGAAAATCAAAGTTAAATTAAACAGATATGTTGAAATTTCTTTCTGTTAGAGTCATAGTATTAGGATGTAAACATAACCTTAAGAAAAATAAACGGTTTTATGCAAGAACACTTATATTCACTGCCTCCTGAAACCACTACCCACATATGTGAGAGCCCTAGAGAAATCCTGACAAAGGAGTAAAATTTCCCCTTCTCAAATTGGAATACTTACAATTGGGATGAATATTTTGTAACCATTGAGTCTGTCTCAGTGTCCATCATATTCACATACAAATGTCCAACTTTCTTCCATCTTGACTTGGATTCATATTTCAGCAACTTCACAGTAATGTAGCAGAAAACCTGGGATTTTCATGTACTAGTATTTAATGACAATTTATTTCAATTTAACTAAATGTAAATTAGTTTTAGAGTCAGTAAAGTGATTTATGCATTAAAATAAATATGCTTAAAGAGACTGTTTAGGAATATAAAATTGTTTAAATGTATTTTAAATTCCTATAAGTGATTTGTCTAATTTGAAAATTTGTGCAATATCTATGATGGTTTTGGAATCTGCAAGGGAATGCAAAAGGCTTCAAATAATTTTAAAATTTTTACGAAAAGTTTGGATCTGTAAAAAACTCACAATGGCTTTGGAACACACAATCAAAAATATGTTTGAAAGTTAAAAGCTTTGAGAAGAATCTGACGATGAGACAAGAAAAAGTCCCAAAAAACATTTAATTTTGATTGCAAATGATTAAAATTTGGATTCCTGAAATTTGTTAGCATTATTTATAGTCTATCTATCTATCTATCTATCTATGTATCTATAGTGTTCTTCCACCTGATGACTGATTTCCCTAAGGTTCTGCTCTGTGCCATATATTTTTCAATATGATAGTGGTGTCAACATCACGACATATTTGCTTAAGGAAGTTAGACCTATTCTTCCTTTGATTTTTTTGCATGGGATATATCAATTCACAATCACATTTACCAGACCAGTGTGTTATGTCCCATGTCCCCATCACAGTAGCTGTCTGGATTGGCTAGTTTTGAATAATGACTTAATTACTCCTGCCTCTTTTTAACACTTCAGCAATTCATTTTTTGTCTGTCCATTTGATCTTTAGCATTCTGTGGTAACACCACATCTCGAAGGTGTAGAAGATTGTATTTTCTCTTATTCAGTGCCCATTTACTCTCTACTCTACAGGGATGTCTTGCGAAGTAGAAAAAGAAGTATATAAGAATGTACAGTACTTTCAACAAAACTGTCTATACTCGAAACTGAAACTAGTAGAAAGCAAATGGTAAATTAATGCTACTAACACATTACACCATAAACATATTTCTTGGATAGAAAATTAACAATAAAATAAATAAAATATTACTGTAACTCTTAAAATTTGGGTTTATCATTTTAACCATATTACAAATTCTGCTAATTATTGGACAGTCTTTTATTGTTCTAGGTGCATCCTCACTAACAACTGCATATTCTTGATGAATTGTTTTAGTGCTGATTTTGTTGCATTGTATTAGATGTTGTTGTTACTGTGCTATCTTCTGCATTAGTTGAATTCTTATGA